GTATTTAATGGGAGCAATACCCTATTGAGATATGATTTACATATCTTAATATGCGCAATTGTGTACTGTCTGATACATTTTGACTGTGTAGACACCTGTGTAACCATCACCCAGACAAGACACAGAACACTTCCCCCACTCAGAAGCTTCCCTCATGCCCCTTGCCAGTCAATCCTTCCACCCCAGAGACACCCACTGTTCCCAGTTCTACCCCTGTAATTAATTAGTTTTGCCTGTTCTTGAACTCCATCTGTGTGGGTCATGCAGTTTGTACAGGGACTTGGTCCCCAGAACCTGGCATGGTGTCTGGCATGTGGCAGATATGCAATGAGAAAGAGCCTTGGTTCTTAATCTACCCTGTGGGAGAGTGTTGGCTTCACTGGGAAACAGGCTGTGAGCCGTTAGTGACCTGTTGGCATAGGCCAGTGACATGCTGGATCCTGGACCCCAGCCCTGGCAATCTGATTCTGAATCCTAAAGCTTTCTCTTGGCCCCCAGTGGGGTCCCTGCAGCCCCTCCCTCTGGGCTCCCATCCTGTGCTCTTTGGGAAGGAGCCTGGTGACCCTGGGCAGGTAGTGCCTCCTGCTGCCACTGGGGTCTAGGGCTCTCCATGGCACGTGGCAGGCCCTGGAGCCCAGTCAGTGACTGGCGAAAGGCAGAGGCTTGGTTTATGGAATAGAAGTCGTTCTGAATTTTAATTTTCCTCTTAAAAGAGGGTTTTTCTAAGTTTGGGGACTTCCCTTTCCCGGAATAAACAGGCTAAGGGAAAGAGGCCTTTTTGGTGGTGCACTGCTGCCCCCAGGTGGTGGCTGCGGCCACTGGTGGGCCCACCAAGCCCAGTGTTTTTCAAGCCTCAGGTTCTGGTCTCAGTTCTGCGCCTCTTGGCTCCCTGGTCCCTTGAATCCTGGTCTTCCGGTCTCTGAGAGGCAGATGTCCATCAGGGCCATCCCTCAGCACTTCTGCCTCGGCCTGGTGTGGGGTGTTCCTAAGAGAACCAGCCCCTGCTATGTGTGTGGGGGGAGATGTGGTCCCTGTGGGGAGGGTTGGCTGGACAGAAGCCTTCATGGCTTGCTCTGTATTTAGCAAATGTTTTAACAGGCACAGCAAGGTTTGACCTTAGGGCTTGTTCAGAGGTGGGGGCAGAGATGGTGGTTGGGTGGGTGGGGGGAGGCTTCTCTGCAACGGGTGTGCAGTGCCTCACAGTCTGCTGCTGGAGGTGGGTGTGCAGGGGCCTTCCTGTCGCACCTGCAGTTGGTGGTGCAGGTGGTGTAACGGCCCAGCTGGCCTCACTCCGGCACGTGGCCTGTGGTGATGTTATCGCTAACTCAGTATTTTTAACTCTTCTTTCCAGAGGATGTGGCTTCTGCGGGAGAGCTTCAAAGGGCGCCCTATTTGCCCCTGTCAGCAAACATGACGTCATGGAAATGGGAGGGGGCGGCCCCAAGCCCCTAGACACCTGGAGGAAGTGGGGACTTTTTCCCTTCCTGTCCTACTTCTGGCTACTGATTCAATGTCTGACTTGTTTATTAATTTCAAAATGTAGCTCTGCAGTGATACTCAGGAAACCTTATGCATGTGTGTCTGAGTGAAACAAGGCCTGAGACTAGGCGCCTTCTGCAGGGCAGGGCACTGGCGGCCCTTGGGGTTCCTCCCCCTTCCCTGTGCTCATTAGCAGAAAGACAGCGCTGAATCTCCAGCTTGCTCCCCCCAGGCCCACTCATCAGTCAGAAGCTCTTCCTCCCACACACAGCTCCAGGCGGTAGACTGGAGAAGGGGTTTTAGGATCACATGTGTGGGAAAAGTGAGGCAGGCCTTAAGGAACGTGACCTTCAGCCCTGGACCTTGGAATGGTCCTGCCGCGCCTGGAGCTCTGGCTCCTTGGGGCCCAGTGTTTTCCCAGAGCAGCCATCCTCACGGTCTGTCGGACAGTTGCCTGACTGGAGGCTGCACTAGCCAAAGGGCCATACTCAGGTTTTACTTTTCCTCACCGTTCTTGATAGGTTAGTCTTAGCAAAACTGTGAAACAGTGGCTCCCCTGGTCACTGTCTCTGTTAATCCCCACTTTCCTTTCTCTCAGGCTCTGCCCAACTGCCACCAACTTGGCTTTCTTCCCAATGCCTAATGGCACTAATGATCTATTTGCTCATTTGCTGGTTAAGTGTATATTAAGCATCCGTTGTGTGCCAGGCACTGTGGTAGATGTTGTAGATATGTGGATGAACTAGATACACTTCCCATCCGCAGGAGCACATTGTTGAGTGGACTTTCTTGCCTGATAACTAAGGTTATCCATGTTAAGGGCTTTATATGTGACCCCAGGAGAGCTGGATTTTATGTCAAGCCAAGATGATAAACAATCCTTGAAGACTCAGATGGCTGCCTCTCCAGTGGTGGATCATGGCAGAGGGGTCCCTCTGTTGGAGCTGGAGACTGCACCTAGGTGTTCCTGAAGTAGATACTTGCTTAGCCTGCCCTTCTTGGCTGGACTGTGACTCCAATTATACTCAGAGGGAAGGTCTCTGCTGAAATGTCAGAGAAACATATAGAATTTTAGGCCTGGGGTAGTGAGATGTCACTTGGTCCATTCTTCTGGGGGCAGTAAGGCATCTGTCCAGACAAATCTGTTCTACAATTGGCCTTGGTGACAAGTTCCCTGCTGGGACTGTGGCCTTCCCTCCTTTAGCCTGGTCCCTGCTCATGGGGCCTGGGGTACTTCAGGACTGCACTTTCTTATGGATTTGGTCACCTTGTCTCTAGGCTTCCTTGGCAGCCTGAACAATGCCTGGCCCCTTACTGCACTGAGGGGCTCTGCTGCATGGCCCTAGTCCTGTGCTGACCCTTCTAGTGGGCATAGGAACCCTTCCCTTGGGCTTCTGCAAAAGGCCACTTGAGTTTCCTGACACTGTAGTAGGGCCTGGGGCCAGATACGAGAACAGAGTGGACAGAGATCAGTGGGGTCTCTGCTCCATCCCCTCAGCACACCCACTTGCTCCTGGTCTGCCCTCTGACTCAGCCCTCGTTGACTTTAGGCTCAACAGCCTCAGACCTGAGGGCAGGTTCTTGCTGGGATTGAAGATCCTGGTTGTAGATGGAAGCTTCTCAGGGGAAGTGCTGACCTAGCTTTCTAGATGGCCTCCTGCCTGCCCGAGACCTTGTCAACCTCAGCCTGGGCTGGGCCTGGAGGGAGGAGGCCTTGCTCCCTCCATGGGTCTAGGTGGATCCCCTGCTGCTGCCACATCATCTCATAGGTTCTTTGGCGGCTTTAGGGGTCCAGTGACTGCAGGGTCCTGGTATCTGAGGGCCCTGGGCTAGCATGACTCCACAGGCTTTGTAGGCCTCCTTCAGTCTGGGCCTCCTCTGAGGTTCTTGGAAGGGTCTGTCCTTGGCCCCTTCACTGTATTCCAGAGTCCCTGCTTCTGTCCCCTTCCCCAAGTCCCATGTCCCCTGCAGTTTCAGTATCTTTGCAGTAAACTCTCAGGAGCAGATCTGCCTCCCTAGCCACCCACACATCCCTTATAGGGATCTTTTGTACACAGACCAAAGTGAATTACTGCTTTAAGGGGAAGAAAATGACAAACTAGTTTGCCCTGTTTTTAATGGTTGATAAAGACTTGCTGTATTAACTCTCCCAGGGGCATTTTCATTTAAGCAGGGAAGAGAATTCTTTAATTAAAAGAAATTCCCAATGGTAGAATCTCTAGCATTGTGCCAGGTTGATGAGGTGGCAGATCCCACCTTTGGGCAGGTGGTGCTGACCCTCCTGTGTGTGGGAGTGCTCTGCTGTGGTGGGATTTCCTTTGAGAACGTTCCCTTTAGCGACCTTTAAAGGGACTTGTATTTAGGCTGCCGATGAGGGGGTTCAGAGAGAACTGGGGGATCTGTAACTGCCCTCTGTAGGGCTGGCCAGGAGGTGGATGGTGGCTCTTTGTTCTACAGAGGCCACAGACGTGTGGATCTGCAGGCAGCCTCCAGGCCTACCTGACATTTTGTAGGTGGTGACTCTGGAGCTGATGGCGGGGAGGGGCCCGTCTAGGTCACCTGTTGTGCTGATAGCTCCCTCCCTGTGAAAGAAGCAGGCCTGAATTACAGCTGTAAGGGTTTGCATGTTTCTGGCTGGTGTGGTCAGAGACACACAGGTGAACCACAGATATATTTGGGGATAGGGTCCTGTCCCTCCCCTGGGGATTGGTGAGTGCTGGCCTTTGATCTTGACAGTGGTAACTGTGAGGTGGATGGCTGAGTGGTCTCTGAGGGGTGTTCTCCTCAGTGTCCATGATCCCAGGAAATGTACTCAGGCTGCAGGAGGCTCAGGAGAATCCCAGGGGTCCCAGGCAATTCCAGCTCCCGTCCTTGAGGTGAGGGCTTGAGATAGCTACTCTGCTTGGCAGTGGCCCTGGGCTTGAGGGCAGAGAGCTCCTTTCTTCTTTCCTTACTGCCACATTCAGGATGGTGGGAGTGGATAGTCTGGCTAGGGTCATGATCTTCTTCTACCCCTGGCCCCTGCTCACTGGGCACTGGGTTGGGACCCAGGCAGTGGAGTGGTGGGTGGTCCCAGCCATGAATCTGTGGAGCAGTGCACAGTTTCAGTGGGACTCCAGTCTGAAATGAAAGGCAAAGGAAATGTTCCTGGAGGGTGGGAGGCAGTGGGTAGCATTTTGGGGATACTTACTGTGTGGTCCATGTCTGCCAAATTTGAAGAATGGGCCATTACCACCCATGTACATGGGCCTCCAGCTATGAGTGGCCCAGTGGTGTGGCATGAAAACAGAAGATCAAGGACCCTAATTTTTAACTGTGTTTGCCTGGCCCGCAGCACAGCCTTCTAAGTGGAAATTTTAGAAGTTATTCCAGGAGGAGGTTGACTTGTGCAGCTTGTTGAGTCAGGCTCCCTGAATGTCCTCCTGGACAAAGGCCTTGGTTCCTTTCTGCCCAGCTAGTTGAAACTGCACAGCAAGCTGAAACTGACCCCTACCAAATCCATCAAACCAGAACACAGCCTCTTCTCCTCCAAGCTGCTTTTAATGAAGCCATGACAGCAGAATATACAATGGGGCTGAGAGACACAGCATAGCAGGGCCTAGATAATGGGATAATTTCCCCCACATCTTGGGAAAAGAGTGATATGTATTTTTTCATGAACACTATTAAAAAAATATAAACCAGTCACAACATTCTCCAGGAGCTAGGGCCCCAGACACCCCACTGGGGATCCCCCATGCAGTGGAACATCAGAGGCAGTCTCTGGGGGAGGGATAGGGAGTTATGCCACAGCCAGGAGGGGCTTCAGCCCCGGCCTTTTCTGGCAATGTGGGGCTGTGACAAGTAGCAGTGAGGGAACAGAGTGGGTGACAGCAGCATTTGGCAGCTCTTCAGCATCTTGATCACAAATATCTGGTAGGATCCAGTTGGTGGCATTGCCAGTGGGGCCAGAGAGGTTGGAAGGACCTTCCCCTCCAGGGGGGCAGAGAGTGCACCTCTGCTTGAAGAGGCAGGGGTGGGGTGATGAGAGGCAGGGAGCCAGGGAGCGTCTTGCTCTTACATTCTTGGCGACCTGGGATGAGGAAGAACAGAAGTCAGGATACTGGATGCTGAGGAGACCCAGGACAGTTAGGGAAATGAGAGAGTTGCTGTTTGGAGAGTTCTGGCTGTAAATGGACCCTGGAGTTATTTTAGCTGGTGGTAGAATGGGATGCACTTGTCAGAAGGATGACCAGGGACACTGGGGGAGAAGGGCATGGAGGCTCGAGCTGGGCTTAGAGATATAATACCCTTACCATATTGGGGGAGGCCATGAGGACTGGGGGAGCTCTAGGTTCTGCCATGAAAGGGACACAGCAGGAGGCATGAGTGCAGATGAGTCTAGGTCCCAAGTTTCTCTTATTCTCCACTCATTGGTGGGGCCCTGCTACTTGACTGTTTATTCATTTCCAAAATGAGGGTAAGAACAGCTTTTCTCCATACTTCATCAGGGAGACATGGCTTAACTGAGTGTCTCTTGCCACCTCAGGAATATATTTCAGGCCAATATTAACAAGCTCAACTCCTAATAGGAGAAAATGGAAGAGTTTGGTGGGCCCGGACTCAGGACCTACAAGCAAGATTCTGGGGGAGGTTTGCTTTCTCAGCCTGGGGACCCATCCTCAGATACCCCCACCCCACCCTGCTGGCCGAGAGCTCTCTCACCTCAGCTGGACCATAGCCGCAGCGTCATGAGCAGGTTGAACCCGACCACTTTCAGAAGGAGGAGGCGGAACCCAATCACCGACAGGTTTTGGAAGTTTAGGTTCATATCTGCAAAACCAAGAGGCCACAGCGGTGTGGGCATGCACCACGAGGTCTGCAGAGCCCCTGTGACACACTGGCAGCTTTGACCGAAGCAGGGTGGGGCTGGTGGGGGTGAGCTGCAGCTCCTAGCAGGCCTCCCCCTTTGAATGTCTGTGCACTTCCCCTTATAACATAGGTGTACATTCCTCCAGGCCAACAGTACTTCATTTCAAAAGGGAAACCCCACTGCTCTCTGTTCTTATGTTATTTCCGAGTCCCTCAGGAGACGGGGGTGGGGATGGGAATTGGGTGCTCAGAACTTACTGTAATCCCTTGGGTCTGGGCCCCTTAGTGAGAAGCTAGTGTCAGAAGCACAAGAGGAATGACTCAGTAAAAATGCTCAGTGGAAGTGAGTATGGGCTCAGGGTAGGTGGTGAGGAATGGCAGGGACCCTGAGAGATGAGCCCATCACCCACAATACGCTCTGTTGCTTTTCTTGAAAGAAGCTAAAACCCCCTGCTATGGGGGAGCATGTCCTCAGGATGAGCTGGTTAGTCTGGGGCTCTGTATAAGCCAGTCAGAAATGTCACAGCTGGGCCACCCAGGAGCTCTCTTTGGCTGTCCTGATAGTGGAGCAATTGAAAGGACTACAGAGGCCTCGGAGTGAGTCACTGGCATGTAAAACAGACTCATCCTTAAAGTTCTTAGAATGGAAAAGAAAATGAGATACGGTAAGAGGAACTTGGGGATTCAGGATGATCCCAGGCAGCCCTAATGAGGGCTCTGTTTCTATTTCTCATAACTTTATTCCCAGATCCACAAATTCCTCCCTCCTCTCCCATCCAGTCAGGAACTTCTGGTTTCCAGCCTCCCCAAACCTGTGTGAAGCTGGGTTAGGCCCCTCTCTTACCTGTTTCAAAGCTTTGCTCTGCCAACTTGGAATCACAGGGCAATTCTAAAAGGAGAAACAAAAGAATTTTCTTAAGAGTCCATAGTGTGCTGTCTCTCCCACCCCAGACCTCCTACGAGTTGGGCAGGTGAATGTCTACAGCCTTTCTGCTTCCTTGTGGGGTGATCTAGAGGGTTTGTGCCACTGTGGGACCAACCCCCTGGCTTCTGGGCACCGTGTCATTCACTTACAAGCAATGGTTGTGCAAAGTCCCTGTTATAGGATGCAAGGCCACAGAACCTGCCATAGGGAGGCTCTAGTCTAGAGTCTGATAGAGGCAGTAAGACACACATAGTGTGCAGTGCTGTAAGGGTATAGATGCTTTCATGTGTTCCACAAAGTTTGGATCCTTGCACCCTCAATTTGTTCCTCTGTTTTCTCCATCTCAGCAAATGGCATGATCATTGATTCAGCTGCTTGGGTATAAAATCTAGCCACCTTCCTTGATCCCCTCTTTTCCTGCTCATCTCTGCATGGTTCTATCTTTAGATCCCAAAGAGCAGCAGCCACTTAGCTCCCCTACCACCACCCTGCCCAGGCATCCGTCATCTCTCAGCTGCCGTAGCTTCCTTTCTGCTTCTGTTCTTGGCTCCTACAATCCCTTTTCCATTCAGTAGTCAGAGTGCTCCTTTGAAAGAGCAAATCAGAGGTCATTCCCTTGCTTACCGCCAATCTACAGCTTCTCACTGTGTTCAGAAGAGTATCTGCCCTCTCAGGACCCAGGAGTCCCTATGATCTGCCCTTGCCTACTTCTTCCTTCTTATTTCCTACTGTGCTTCCTCTTTCTCACTGTGCTCCTGCCTCAGGCCTCTATGGAGTCTGCTGTGCCCTTGGCCAGGCTTCTTATCCTTTAAATCTCAGCTCAAACAGCATTTCCCCAGATGGCCCTTCCCTAAGGTGGCTTTTTCCTCAACTCCAAGTGAAAGCACACATTCAGTCTGAAGTTATTTAGATTCTGCTTGCTGATGGATGGTCTCCTCCAGCTAGAATGGAACTTCCTCAGGGCAGACTCCTCATCTGACTTATTTATTCCTCCACTCCAGCACCTGGCATGTATACATGCACAACCAGTGGTTGTCGAATGAATGAACGAGTGAGTTTAGTAGCTGGGAAAGCTCTTTGGCAGAGAGAAAGAAATAGGGGGAGATACATTGTCTCAAAGGGCATTAGAACAGGGCCTGGAAGAGAAGTAAGGGGCAAAGAGCCTGAGCAGGCAGGAAGGTGGGAACCCAGAGCAGGTGAGAGGCCAGTGCCCTCTTCCACCACTTCTTCCCATTGGCTTTCTGCCCAGGACATTCTGTGGCCTGCCAGGATGGGGCTCACTGAGGCTCAGGAACAAGAGGGTAGGAGCTCTGCTGAAAATTGAAGCTGAGACCACCAATTCGAGCAGCTTTTCGGTATCATTAACCTGAGTGTGGGCACAGCCAGGCTTCTCCAAGGGAGGAGACTTAGCTTGCCCAGATACCAGGGCTGCACTCACCTGAGTTAGGGTGGAAGATCTGGTTGAAGGCGTCTTCGCATTTAAAATCGATGCGGCTGCTCCAGGCCAGCATCCCGTTGCTCTTGGAGTCCATGGCCTTCATGTCCAGCACGGTGCTGTTGGAGCTGTATGCTAAGGAATCTGTGACTTCTGGCACATTGTTTTGAGAATCAAAATCAGTGGCTAGACAGACGGAAGTGTTGCTGGATTTAGGGCTTTTCAGCTGGTACACTGCGGGGTTGGGGTTCTTGATATCTGTGGGCCAAGAGGACTCAGGTTAGGAGATGCTTGTTTCTCTCCTTGTCCCAATCCAGACCTGAGGTCAGATGCCAGTGATGGGCAAGAGCAGGGCTCTGCGGGTCTGGCAAGTCACATTCTCATGCTTTAGGTGGGAAAGAATATTCTAGAAACCAGTTGCTTATAATGGACTGGACTCAGGGACAGGCACAAGCCATCAGTCCTGGCCTAGAGGTTCTCAGTGGATGCACTGTGCGAGGCCCTGCCTGCCATTCCAGGCACCAGAGAAGCTGGGCTACTTAATAATGCTGCTCATTCTTCTACTTAATAGGAACTGCTCAGCAGCCCTGGTGAGCAGCAACATGGCCCTGGTAGGACAAAGCGAGCACAGAAGGAAGGCCCAGAAAGTGAAGTGTGTGTTGGGCATCTGGGGTGGTGTCCTCACTTAGGGTGGGCATTGTAGGCTGCAAGTAAGTCAGATTGGTCACATCACCAAATTTTCTCACTCATAAAAGTTTTAGATTATAAATCAGAACACCTGTGTCCCAGCCTTGGCTCTGCCATTTACTAGAGCCATTATGCCAACCCCTTAAATCTCAGGAATTCACGTGTAAAATGAAGATGTTGCACGGCCCGCCTTCCAGAACCAGGCTGTTCTGAGAAACAGATGAGAGTTTCTCCATTTAAATGATGTTTAATGAACTGTGAGGCCCTGACTGCAGTTATTGCTACGACCAGGCTACTGCCGTGACAATGTGCTACCCAGTCCTACGTGGTCCACAGTAAACAGCGTCTGCCCCTCACCCCCAGGACACAGCCATCGCTGGAGGCTTTTCCTTGAGAAAAGTGCTTGTAATCATTCTTCAGTATTTCTGTAGGATTTTGTGTTTTTAATTCGACTGTCAGTATTTGTTCTTTCAGACCTCCTGCCTTTAGAGGAGGAAGCAGAGGTTTGCCATGAGTGTTAACACATTGAGGCCACCCAGGGAGTCGACAGCAGGCTTGGGGCAGGAGCTTCCTGCCCCTGTGGCTCTCAGCTCCCACGGCTCCTCACCCTGCACATGAAGGTTCTCAGACCAGCCACGCACCCAACTTGCTGAGCCAGGGTGGCCTTGGCAATGCAGACACCCAGCTGGATCCGAAACCAGGGAAACCAGCCCTTGGCATGGCTTTGGGGCAGGTCAAGGGAGAGCCGCCTGTGGTGTGAGGCTGTCCCTGGAGCAGCAGGGCAGGGGTGGGCTGGTGGTCACATGTGGGAGACATCCAGAGCTCTGGTGCTGAAGGAGTCTGCCTCTCCCCACAATCTCCACATACCTGGGGGGCCCTGACATCGCTGTGGGTTACGGCCTTCAGGCATGGATCTTTCACAGGGAGGGAGGAGTGGGGAAGCCATGAGCAACACCAACATACTCCAGTGATTTGTTAGTCATCAGTAGGAGTCAAGGGCAGGACTAGGCAGGGGTGGTGCTGAGAGAATGTGGCCTTGAGGAAAAGGCAGAGGATAAGGTGCCACCAGACACACTTTGGCCTTAAGAGGGGGAGGGAGGTGCTGTGGGGCAGATGCCCGACTTTGAGTCCTGGTTAAATACTCTCTCAAGTCCGACAGCCAGTGGGAGTCAGGTTGGAGAAGGTCTAGGCCATACTGTCCAATAGGATAGTCTGTGACTATTTAAATTAAAACAAACTAAAATTAAATAAAATTAAAAATTCAGTTAAAAACCAAAACTTCATTTTAAGAGCTCAACAGCCACACACGGCTGGTGGTGACTCTATTGGACAGTGGTGCAGGTCCATAGGGCATTTGGCTGTCCCAGAACATTCTGCTGGACAGCATTAGTCCAGAGAGAGCAGGGTCACAGAACATGAGATGTTGCAGAAAGGCAACAGGGGCAGGGTGAGAGCCTTAAAAGTCATCTTTATGTGTGTGAGGTGACTCTACCAGGGGCAGGCCAAGTAATGCTCAACTTTGCTAGTGAGAGATCAAAATGAAAGAGCAATAAATGAAGTCAGAAGAATTGAGGTGATTTTTAGCCTCTTTCAAATCTTGGTTTACTAGTTGATAGAATTGAGTCACTTTTTCTTCAGATTAATTCTAGGACTAGTGCCTATAGTATAGTGTCCAAACTTCCCGGCATGACATTTAGGGGCTGTAATGTTCTCAAGTCCTTTATTTGGCCCATTTAAGTACAGCTGCACCAAACTTCATACTGGCTCCTTGGAATGTAAGCTCTGTGACAGCAAAGGCCTATCTTCTGTTAACTGTTGTATCCCTAGTATTGCCACATAGTAGGTACTCAAGAAATGATTGTTGGATAAATAAATGGCCTAGTGCCCATCATATTTGCAAAATTTCTGCTTACTAGACTTTTTGGTCAAAAAAACTGGGTGCTGATCCTAAAGTTGATTTTTTAAGCCCCTTTTTACTTTCATCCTCATGTACCTCTAGTGCAACCTTTTCTTCTTGTTTGGGAACAAAAAATGAGTCACTTATAATTTGGAGGACTTCTGGAGCCCATCTACCAGAGCCCTGGGAGGAGAGACTTCCTGTTTCACCTTTGCAAGATAAACACATCCTACCACTGACAGTATCTCAGAAGGTAGCCTTAGCAAGACTAGATGAGGTTTTCAGTGTGGAAGTTCAGCTATTCTAGATCCTCACGGTTCATTTTAATTCAAAACTAACCACAGAAGCGCATGCCCAAATGCCCTAGTGCTTTAGATCCCAGGGCCACAGTGAGGATTGAAAGCTCCCTTACTGCTAAATCTGTGCTTTGTAGTTAGGTACTAGGAACCCAGAAATGTGAGTTAATAACACTAATTCGGGGTCCCACTGAGGGTCTGGTGAGTGTCAGGAAGCAGTGAGCCTTGGAGGACTTATAGGGAGTAATGGAAACTCTGGTTCCTTTGCCAAATTGCAACTGGGAGGCAGTACCTTCATACCACACCTAAGGTTCTCATTATGGAAACCCTTAGGTTTCCCCTCCTCTGAAGGATGGGGTAACCCCTCGAAGAGCCTGCTGAGGAAGGCAAGGTCAGGTCCCTAGGCCATGAGCCCTCCACAGGAAGAGCTGACCCCTCACCTTCATGCCCAGTGTGCATTTATAGCTTGGATTCCTGGCCTCCCAGTGGCTCGATCTGATCCTAATTGTCTGTATTGTCTTGAAGGCTTTCATTATTCCTTTTCTCTGTTGTCTATGAAGATATCTTCTTTGCCCTTCTCTCTATCCAATTTTATTGCCAGATGTAATTACTTAGACCAAAATGCATGTGCCTTGTTCACTCCCAAGATCATGCCTTCTTTCTTGTCATTCCTTATGCCTGGAGGTCCCCTTCTTTCCTTTCTTTGCCTGCACAGATCTTACCTATCCTTCAGGCTCAATGAATCCTTTCTACTGCATAAAACCTTCTCCTTCTAGGCCAACTTTCCAGCCAGGATCCTATTCTTCTGAATTTCTATTGTGCCTAAAGACATTATCAAATAATTTTCAGGTTGCTAAATTTACAACAGTTCTGTCCCTTTGGCTAGTTTTTTACACTATGTGGGGACAAGTCAGACATCTATCTTAGACTTCCTACGCAGCCTAACATTTTATAAGAGTGATGGCCACATAGAGGGCATTAAAAAATATCTATTGAATGATTAAAGTCAAATTTTAATGTGTTTGACCTAGAGAAACACAGATTTTCAAGATTGATAGTGATGCTTTTTCCCTGCACAGAAGCCTCTTACAACAATTAGTTCTATAGGAACACGGATATCCCCAGGAAGGGACTGGTGACACTGGCCCATGGGGTTGCCGCTGGGATGACTCACCAGACATTACGGACAGTTTGGTTCCTTTTCCAAATGTGAGTTTACCAGTCATTCCTCTGGTATTCACACTGTAGGTGACACCATTACAGAAACTCACTGGACCCACCTCGTACTTCAGAAGGAGAAGCACTGATCTCCCACAGGGGACGGAAGAATCGTACTTTTTGAGTAAGACCCTCTGCTCTTTTGTTTTGAGACTTGGTCTCTGACATGCTCAGTCCTTTTCCTTCTGTTCCATCCTGTTGAAGTGCCTGGTTGGAGGTTGTGATTTCAATAAGCCAAGAATTCAGTAGAGCCAAAACCCTTGTTCAGGGAGGCAGTGTCTTAGATCCTCTAGTGGGGGGTCCAGGACTACTTGCTCATCATCTGCCTCAGGATTCCTAAGGTCTCAGCCTAAGAATGTTTCCTGAGCAATGAATGCTGGATGGGAGGATGTTTTTGGGGACAGGTGGAAAAAACCATTTGGGGTCCTACAGAAGAAAATACCTGGGCTTAACTCGGCATCTTGGACAAAGAAAATTAGTTGTCCATGTCTACACTTGCCCCACTCTGCTTACTTGGCTGGACACTCACTCTGGTCCATGCTCCAAAGACTGGCATGGTCCTACTGCTGTATCCCCACTGCAGGTAAGGTCTTTGTAATAACCTTCCTGATGTTAATAATCTGCTAGAACCCCCTAGGCTCTGAGAGCAGCATCCGAAAAGGCTCCCTGGGTCTTTGTTTTTTAGGTATCCTATTTTCCAGGGAAGCTGTTCCCTTTCCCTTTATAATAATGTAAGGTTTTTATAACAAAGTCTTGATAGTAATAATAATAATTTAGAAAAGCTATAATTTATTGATTATGTGCAATATGTCGGGCATTATCTAGTATTATTATGATGTGGTTATTGTCATTTTGCTGTTGAGAAAGTGGAGCCTTTATTAGCTGGTGAGGGTAGAGCCAGAATTTCAGATCTGCCAGCCTGCCAAGCTGTGCTGTGAACCCTGTAGCATCTTGCCTCCATGCCTTGGTATTTCACATGGTGTAACTGACATTCAGATAGGGGTCAGGGTCACTTTTCCCTGGGAGAGGTTCAAAACTCTGCTAAACTCCAGAGGGGAAGAATCTGTGAGCATATCCCTATGCCATGCTCATAAGCCACACCAAGGAATTTAGCTACCTGCTGCAGTAAAAGAGAATTTGTGTTTGCTATTAACTCATCTTTTTCCCCTAGGGGCACTTATCTAATTTCCTGAATATTCAGATTATCTGGTGCTGATATTATCATCTTTGCTTGAAAGCACTGAATATCTGAAACTCTTTTTATGTTTCTGTAAATTATTCTGCTCAGAATTTCATTTACTCAATTGGGTCTTGGCATTTCTGTCTTTAATGTGAGAAATGGGAACATTTTAAGTCATCAAGAGAGCTTGTAGAAGTGGAAAACAAGTGTTTCATATATCCTCCAGTGAGTCTGTTTTCTCATAGACAAGTTGCCAGTTCCTTTTGCCCTGGTGGTTTGTACGGTCATCCTCACATGGGTAGTCAGCCAGTCAGGTTCCTGCTCCAAAGATCAGCTTATTATAACTACCAGACACATGATAGCAGGACACTTACAAGAACTCGAACCTGGCAGGGTCATCCTCACTGGGGTGGCAACATATCCTGTCCCTGTTTTATAGACTCCTCCAAATGCCCTTTCTGTGACTCGAGTGAAAAGTCAGGCCCACTGAGTCCTAATTCCTCAGTTCTCTGTAATAACCCCACAGACCTTTTCCTCATAGCCAACCTGAAGCTGGTCCAGCCTTCTGGTAGGGTAAATGCCCATTCTGGGTTTCACACCAAAAGTGAAGGAGGAAAATTGGAAGAGTCTGGAGAAGAGCCAGGGATTAACTGGGAAGTGAATTTTAGGGGCAAATTCATAGTCCTGGCAGGTAATGGAAAATCTAGGGTAGGGCTTAATCATGGAGTGGAGCCTAATGAAGGGCTTTCCTTTTAAAAAGCGGTTCTTTTCTTTTCGCTGAGGGCAGAGAAAGAGAGACTAAAATTGCCACAGGATAGTCATATAAAATGCACAAGGAGGACTGCTTAACTGTGAAGCTCATGAGAATCAGGAGTGAGATATATATGGGGCTAGAGAATCTCTTTCTCTGGAGGTTTCCCAGATTAGGGTTGACATTTGTAGCAGGGGGAAAATCTCCCAAGTTTGAGAGGGGTTTAGACAAATACTTTTTGGTAGGAATTTCACAGAAACTCTAGTCCTTGTAAATTTCTCTGCAAAAAAAGTTTCTAAGCTCAAGTAAGTTTGGAAAATGCTGTATGTTATATTTCAGTCTTGAAGACTGACATGCATATTAGCATTTTAAAGTCTCTGAGAAGTCCTGCAGTAAAGAAATCCAGAGCTTCTCACCCTTATGTGATCCAATAGTCTTTTTTTTCTTAAAACATCCATTAACATTTGTGGAACATACGCAGGTTTAGATAAATATTTCTTGAAGTTCCTTTTAGTTCCAAGAATTTAAAATTCCATCCAAAATTTTAGCTTTAAGTTTCTTGTGTTCTGAATCTGTTTGTTCTCCTGTCTACTCCTGCAGGCACAATTAGGGGTCCTGATTATTTCTTTCTAATCATCATGAAAGAGCTTCATTCTATTTGGGTAATTGCTGAACATGTAGTCAGCTGTATAGAAAATTCTCCTGCTGTCATCAGCAAGAGCTCCAGGGCAGATATGGATGCAGTCAACATGCAGGAACTACATTGTTCCAACCCTTTGCAGGGTTCACCTTTTAGAAACATTCACAATTTTAAAGCCTTTCCCAAATGTAAATGTATTGGTCTTTCTTCCACACACCTTCCTACATGCCTTGGAGTTGTGCACCTCAAAGAAGATTCTGGTCCTAATGGAGAAAAGCTTCCTTAGAACAGAGAAGAGTTTCCTGGGTGGTGTCTCAAATGGAGACATAAATCTCATCTCGTGTATTTATCATCAGACTGCTTTCCTTTTTGCTGCCAAAACCCATTTGTGCTGCTTCCCAATCACAGATATTGTGGTACTTCTGCCTCTGAACTCTGATTCTTGAGAAAAATGATGGGCCTCAGGGTTTCTAAATGCAGCCTGAACTGACCCATGGCAGGGAGCTCTGGTGAAGTGCACTCATGAACAGATAAATGCAGAAGGTGTTTCCCTGGATAGATGGGCTTTCTCCCACCCACGTGCATTTGGAGGGACTCTGTAATCTCCCTGTTTTGAAGCCTAGCAACTCTCTCTTTTGGAAAATACTTGCTGCTGTCTAAACCAATATGTTCTAAACCATTACCACCCCTCCTTTCAAGCCTTCCCTGACTCTTAGCTAGAAGGCATTTTTTCAGTGTTCATTTATTTGGTGACACCTATGTGCCAGGCACTGTGCTGGGCTACAAAGGGGTAAGGATGAAGCAGAGAGGGTCCTGGCCTCACAGAGCTTATGGTGCAGTGCAGGATGCATGTAAACATTAGGCAACTAAGATAGGAAGCCAGCTACATCTTCCTTTCTGCTCCCATTGCAACTTGTATGTATCTCTACTATAACATGGTGGCCCTGGCATCATTGTCTGTTTATACTGATGTTTACCCTCTGTGAGGTCCCGGATGGCAAACGCTGATTTTCCTTCCTCCCTTCCCACATCTAGCATGGTGCTAAGAATATAATAATTGCTTAGTATATATTTGCTGAATAAAAAGCCCTCTAGATATTTTAATTCATTTTTAAGGCAGTCCTGCTTTCTATCTGCTTTTATTAGGATTATTTCATTTCTCTTTGAGTTCTGTATGGCTCCATTTTCTAAAATTCTTAATGTTTTTGCTGCATTAAATAATATTTAGGCTTTAAGTTTCATATCTCCCTATTAGACAAGGGGTTTTGTAGGAGTGCATCCAATTCCTAGGGTCTTTGGGAAGTTTAATTTACCACCTTTCATGAAAATTAGATGGTAACAAAAATAATTTTTTTGCAAAATCAGTCATGATTTCTCTTCTGATAAAGATCTTTTGTCATAAAGGAATCTAGAAACAGCAAAAGGGTCTTTCTTTGTAATAATGACAGGACAATCTGCACTGGCCATTTCTACCATTAGCAAGTAAACTACTATTGAGCCAGTGGCTGGGAATTCAAATTTCAAAACATGAAGAAACATGAGAAATTAGCTCAGGAAGGGCAGATTCATCATCTAAGAAGGCAAAGGAGGGATTTGCTGTGTCTTTGGCTAGAGTCCAAGGTTGGGCACTTACTTGGATGCACATGGAGTCTTGTTCTACTCCCCAAAATGAGTGTGCGGCTGCTGGTGTCTACACCCTGGTATCGGGCAGTGCAAATACCTGCCCTGTGTCACGTGGGTGGCTGCCCAGCTCCCTGGCATGTTTACGACCTTCACTCCTGGGAACAGGGCTTTAAAACAGCCTGTTCCATGCTTTTGATCATAGATTTCTCTCTGCATGTCACTTCATGCCCAATAAACAGTCGCCCTAGGCTTCTACCTTCCTCCTGCCATACCTGCATCCTGCCAACCCAATTTAACAATTTTCCTGATCTCTTCAGAAATGCCTAGTCCTGTACCAAGGTCACCATGGCAAGAAGGCTCAGGATGGGCAAACCAAGGACCAGACAGGGGGCTGCAGGGCCTGGTGTGTTCCCTCAAGGAGTGCAGGACAGGTGGTGGCAATGTGTAGGGTATGGTTAACAATAAGGCCCTAGAGTCAAAAAGATTAGATTTACTAGCTCTGTCATTCCCACCTGTGTGATCTTGGGTAAGTTGCTTATCCAAAGCCTCCATTTCGTCATCTGTAAAATGGGTGTAATACCAGCTACCTAACATTAGGATGGGATGTGAGCACTGAATGAGAACTTACATTGAGGACAGGGTGTGGTCCTGGCACATGTCAGGCATTCAGCAAATAGTAGCTAAATATGATATGATGGGGTCACGGGGAAGACAGTGTAGCACAGAGAAGAAAAAAAATGATATGATGATTCCCAGCAATATTTTGCACTAGGGAAGGGATGGGAGTTCTTGCAGCTAGAGGAGACCCATTCCTTCCA